TANNNATTATATATATATATATATATATATATATATATATATATATATATATATATGTGTTTATGTCTGTGTATGTGTGTGTATGTGTGTATGTGTGTGTTGTGTGTAACATAAACATATAGTGGTATGTGATGGATTCAACCTCTCACCTCCACCCCCTCCCTCCCTCTCCCCCTTCTCCTTCCTAATTCAGTTCAATTCAATTCATTCCATTTCATTGTTTTATTGGCATTTTTCAAATGACTCATTTATTTAGATGACAAGAAACAAACAATTTTTGGAATAATAATAATAGCTTATGCAATGAATCGATTATTTATTTATTTGATGGTATTCGAATTTGTTTTGTTTATGGAATTTAATATTTAAAATTCATCATTATTTGACTGGCCAGTATAAATTTTATATGTAATATTGACCATCTGGTTCTGTGCTTCTACATTTAGACAGACAGATAGGCCCATAAGCGCTAAGTATATGACCTCCATTTCAATAACCCTTAATGACTGTGTATATCCAGGGATTCGGAAACGCTTTGAAAAAAAAAAACAAAAAATTTATTCGAAAAAAGTGTTTGGCGGTGTATTTTTCTTTATAATATCATGAGAGTTTATGTTGTATTGGATAGAAGGCATTAAATGATTCAGAGGGGAATGCTCTTGAACGCAACATTGACTATTTCAGAAAGACGCTTCCTTCCAAATTCAAAAATAATACATAATCAATATATGAATTGTGAAGTTAGACAGTGGAAGGTACAATAATGAAGTGAAAATTGGTTTTGCAAGGAATAGCATTTCGATTTATGGAGAGACAATGATATTTAAAATTTAATTTAAAATATTTTTTGGAATTCTAACATTCAACAGCTTTCTTTTGTAGAAAGAAGGGGTCACTTTTTATTCTATTTAAAGCAATCCTGTCGTTGAGTCTTAATTATTTAATTATCTTCAAGAAAAATCCGGAATAATGAAAATGAAGATATTGGAATCCAACTACTACAGAAATGATATCCCACAAAAATATTGTACAAGGCCTATTTGCGCTTGTATAACACCAAAAATTAAATCAGGTCATGGTCGACTATATATACTACTTTCCTTATTTTGCCATGTAGAATTTCTGAACAGAATTCCAAATCATAATTAGTGGTAGAACAATTATGGTCGGTGAAATCGATATCTGGCCGATGGAGCAGGAAAATGATGCAATGGTCTTCCTGATTTTATAGCTTATTATTAATCTATTTACGATAATAGGAAATTTGTACAACAAATTTATTGCAATCATTGAGCTATATGGACACCATTGCGCAATGCCCGCAAGATTGACTTTTGAATTCCTAATAGCTGGGCGACATTCTCTTCACAGTTTATCAGCCATCTTATTTTTTTTTTTTTAAAGTAAGAAATCTAGTGATTATGTTAAACCCCATCAATGTGATTTGAATAAAATTGCAAACTTGAGAAATTTTTTCCAAAAATGTTCAAGTTCCTCTGATTTCTTCTCTTGAATGCTAAAAGGAATGATCAGGTACTGCTCAAAGTATTTACCTTTGCTAAGTGAACTCATTTCACAGTTTTCTACTTCCGGAAGGACCATCTGTTTCAAAATAACTCTGGTGAACTTCAATATGTTCCTTTTTTTTTTTTGCAACAACGTTTATATTGTCTATCATTTCTACATCATTCTGCGCATAAAAAATTTAATGTTCCGGAAAAATACTCGCCCTAAACAGCATTTCTTAGACTACAACAATTAATATACGACAATGATTCCAAAATATGTGGATTAAAGATGAAATCAAATTTTGAAATTTGCAAGTTTCCAAATTTTGAAAGTAATTTTGAGATACTTAAACATATTAAAATATTTAAGCTTAATAGTGGAACATTCATCTGCTGTCGCTAAAGGAAAATTGTATAAATTAAGAAAAGGAATTGAGTATTTTGTGTCCTTTTCATTTTTTTGCTTAATTAAAAATTGAAAGTAATGAGTGCACATCTGACGAAGTACGTACAGATTGGCGCCAGCTTGTAAAAAGGATGTGTACATCTTTCTAGGCCATGGTCACTGCCACTTCAAATATCTGTTATGTAAATTACAGTTCACTACTAATCAGTAGGTGTACCAGCTTGGCGCCACCTTCCTCCTCCAACCTTCCTTCTTCCTCTAAAAATTGTAGGGAGAGGATGTAATGGAAATATGGAGCGAGGTTCGAAAAGATTGTCGAGAAGGATAGACAAGGTAAAGAAAGGAAAGGATTCGAGATACAAGGCCACCTCTCTTTACCATCTATACATTCAATACAACAAATACTTCGAGAGTCTATAAATTATGGGAAATAGAGGAAGTGCGCTGGAGACCGCCAAACTATTCAGTTGTCATTTTGAAAATCGAAAATCGAGAATGACCTTGTTCATATCCTTCTACTACAGAAGTATTCTCGTTTTTTTGCCCCCGGGCAAAAGCTATCATTTTGAATTTTCGTTATGTTTAGGAATTTCCTGCAATTAGCTGAAGATTAAGATGTTAATTTAACTTGATTAAAAATCTCCCGGTAGTTCGAGTTGGAATCATTGGGAAGCGGTTGCTGCAAAAAAAAGCGCGTTCACGGGATGATTGCAATATTTGAAAGTAGGCTGCAGAAAGAGCGTTAAAAATAATGTCAACAAAGTAATGTGCTCACATATAATATGTGTTTCTAAAAAAATTGACGTGTTTTGCTGAATTGTAAATTTAATTTTAAGAAAACAAAAAGTAAGTTTTGTTAGTTTAAAAACATTCGAGCGAAATGAATTTGAAGCAAACTTTTAGAGTTGAAAATTTTTGTGACCGAAACCATTCGAGCAATTGAAACAATAATGAAATAGGCGAGAGGAAGCTGGATATGTAGAACTGTCTTGACGAAACGTTTTTTTGCTCCAACAAATGAAACTCCCTACCTCCGCATTAATTACTTAGCACTTAAAATTACATTTTCTTAGAGTATTTAACAATTCTTATTGTCCACTCTTAATTTATTATTTTGCTTTTAGTTATCCATCTGTAATTGTCTGTTTCCTCACACAAAACATTAATACCTACGTCAGAAGGTTTACCGATCTCTCATTGGTCACTCTATTTAGAATGTCCTATACTAATTTTAAATCATCACAGCTGTCCAATGTTATACTTCCAATACATTTTATGTTATGTCCTTTCTTCAATAGAACAACGTTTTGTTTTGTGTTTTACAATTTTGACTCCCAGAATTTGACCGTTCTCTGAGTCTACTCAAAAATCTTTCACTCTTCATTTTCTCTAAACATCACATCAAAAAGAAAGCGAAATCTCTGATATTATTTCTTCTCGATTTCTTCTTTGTTCTGTTTTGGTTGTGATTGTTATTTCTGATCAGAATTCCAGTGAAAGAGTGATGAGCATAAGAATGGTTATTTTTGACATTTGGGGCATCGTGCCAGAGGAGTAAGGCTTATACAATAGAACAGACGTGAAAGAAGAGAATGGAACGGTCATTCCTTCAATGTAATAAAGTTTGAAGCCATTATTACGATGACAAACAATGCTTTCAAATTGAGAAAGTTGTTGCCAATCGCATCAATCATTCATTGTAAGCGCATTTAAACGAGATAATGATCCGCAATTGGAACAAATCTATGCTTTTTTGTTCGTCTAATTAAGATGAACTGGGACCGACCGCACAAATACAATAGAATTGAAACGCTGCTTTGAATTTCATCCCGCATTTGCATCCTTTTATTTATTACTTTTCAACAACTGATAAATTAATTTTCGATCAAATTATCCGCCACTTTTATTTCATCATTTCCAGTCACAAGTCAGTGTCTTTCTCAATAACATTTTTCCGATAATACAGATCGTCGGGATCCTTGTGATCATGAAATGATGTATGCATCACTCATGGTAACTGCACTACTGCATCTCGGACTAAGCTATGCATTGAGAATTCAAATCATTAAACAGTTCCGTTCGAGCACACGAGATTGATTAAGATGCTTTACTGATATTGATAAATGTTCA